TTTTTCAATTGATTTTTAAGAGCTTAATTTTCATTATTTTTTGACATTTTAAATTTGTTTCCTACACTTTCAAACATGTATAAAATTATGGCAACAATGAATTTTCATCAAAATGAAAACTATATCTTGAATAATGCCTTTGGCGTGTTTCCTGAATTAATTCTTACACACTCAATTATCCTTATTTTTTGGAATTTCAAGCTCATTTCCTACACTTTTAAAGGTTTCAGAATTGATGGCTGTATCCATTTTGCATTCAAATAAAATTTGTATATGGTACAAATTATGCAAGAAACAGGGTACGCTCATCTATTAAGATTGAAGCTTGTATTTTGAGTGAAATTTGACTTCACCATTCAATTCTAAACATTTGTAAATGTAGGAAATAAATTTAAAATAAAAAAAATGCTTAAAATCAGGCCGGTAAAAATCAATCAAAAAAACATTAAAAAAAGCCTGTCCACTGCAGTATTCAGTAACAAGCGCTGATTTTTATGTAAAATGGTTGTTACCATCATTTTTATCATGTATTAAAGTGTGGGAAATAAACTTAAAATGTCAAAAAATAGTGAGAAATAACATGTAAAGAATTAATTGAAAAAAGTGTCTAGTTTCAGTATTAAAAATGAACTGTTGAGTTTTAATAAAATTGGATGTTACCATTAAATTCTACACACTTTTAAATGTATGAAAAAACTTTAAAATTGCAAAAAAGCATAGAAAATAAGGTACACACATGTATGCAAGCAATTAAGTGAAAAAGTGATGAATTAATTAAAAAAAACGTGTCAAATGCGGCATTCAAGGTATAGTTTTCAGCTTGGGTAAAAATGGTTGTTACCATAATTTTCTACATGTCTTAAAGTGTAGGAAATAAATTTAAAATGTCAAAAAATGATGAGAATTAAGCTGTAAAAAATTAAGTGAAAAAATGGGTCTAATTTCAGTATTAAAAATGAACCGTTGAGTTTTAAAAAAATTGGATTGCACCATTAAATTCTACACACATTGAAACCTAGGAAATAATTTTAAAATTTCACAAAAGCATAAAAAATAAGGTACATACATGCCTGCAAACAATTAATTGAAAAATAAGTGGAAAAAAAAAATTAATGATCAAAATTCATTTTTATGGAAAATGGACTTTACCATTAAATTCTAAACCTTTTATAGTGTAGGAAACAACTTTAAAAATTCAAAAAAACTCGAAAAATAAGCCGTAAAAAATTAATTAAAAAACCGCGTCTAAAAGCGGAAACCGCGTGTGCTGCGGCGCATCAAAACCGCGTCAAAACGCGGAAAAACCGCGTTTTTTTATTAAGGCCCTTTTTTTTTCATGCAAAAAAAAAATTAAACAGCAGCCTTGCCGACCAGGAGGACTCGACCTCGCCGGCCAGGGTGGAATCCTCTCGTCGAACAAGAGGATACCCTACTGGCCGGAGAGGTCGTACAGCCTCGTCGACCAAGAGGATTCCCTCCTGGCTGGCAAGGTCGTACAGCCTCGCCGACCAGGAGGGTGTCCTCCTGGTCAACGAGGTTGTACAACCTCGCCGACCAGGAGGATTCCCTCTTCAGTGTTGAACTGCTCAGCTAATGAGTGAAGAGCTTGGAGGGGATAAATATTATTAAAACTATAAATTAGTAATAATAATAAATGGGTGTTGGTGAGACTGCCCTCCTTGTCTAGCTTGTGAGAGAGTTACACTAAGAAAAATGATAGTGTGGTAGATTTCTAAAATTTATCTTAGTGAAGATACTACCTGTTGAGGATGTTGTGTTGTTTATAAGGGTGGTTGGAATGGATGGTCAAGAGCTTCTGGAGTTAGGAGATATCTGAGGGTTTCTGGTTTATTCTGGTGTAATATATTCTTTCTGGGTTCTCTGGTTCAATTCTGGGTTTTTAATAAAGTGAGTCTTTATTTCTTCATTATCTTCTGTTGAGAGCTTGAGGAGAGTTAAATAATTTCCTTATTATTTAACAGGTTTCAATAAAGGGATGAAGAGTAAGGGTTTAATAAATTCTCTTATTACTATTCTGTATCTGATATATAAGGGTTGATGAAAGCTAAGTAATATCTCTAATTACTATTCTGTAGCTAGCATGCAAGGGGTTGATGAATGCTAAATAAGATCTCTACTTATTTCTCTGATGCAGACATGGGGAGGAAGGAAGGAAAACATGAGCCAGGAGGACCTCTATTTATAGAAAAAATCTTTGGTGGGATGGTCAACAGCTACACTGATCAGAATGATTGTTCTGACTGGGTAATGACCTCATACTGCTAATTTAATGATGTCATGATGGTGTCAAGCTATGAAATTAATGATTTACAGCTGTGAAATTAATGATGTGCAGCTGTGAAATTAATGATGTACTGTTGTGAAATCAATATTCTACTGCTATGTTGGTCAATGATGTCATCTGTGTGATTAATGATCCTTATGTTGTGAAATAATGATGAGTGGCTGTGTAATTAATTAAATGGCTGTGTAATTAATTATTAATGATCTGCTTAATTAACTAATAAGATCTGCTGAATGATTTTATGATTTATTATTATATTATTCTATTCCTTCTGAATGGTTTTTAGCTTTATAACATTATATTATTTCTAATTCCTTGTTGACCATTCTTGTTATGTTGTAAGATCTGTTTTGTAATTATATATATATACCTTTTAATCTTCCTTGTATTTTTTATACATTTAGTCTGTGAAGTGTAATTATATATGAAATAAAATATCAAGAAAAATGACTATGATTTGAGAATAAAAGGCTTTAGCATGACTATTTGATATTTTTACCTGCTTTCTTTAATTTATATTTACTATTTTAATATTTTTAATATATCTTTTTATGTTTTATGGGTTTGATTGGTCTTACCACATTGGCCGGCGAGGTTGTACCGCCGACCAGGAGGGATTCCTCCTGGTCAACGTGTAGGCCTTTTTTTTCTTTTTCTTTTTTTTTTTTTGTTCTTATTTTTTTTGAAAGAAAAAAAAACCTCCCATAGGACCCATGCCTGGGTCCTATGGGAGGGAGATTGGTGTGCAGGCCTGCACGCCATCTGCAGGCCAATCCACCCTGCAGCAGACTGGCGTGCAGGCCTGCATGCCAATCCTCTTTGGCGTGCAGGCGCGCACACCAATCTGTGCCTGGCGTGCAGTTTGGCGTGCGCAAGGGGGGGTTGGCTTGCGTTTATCAACCCCCTCATAACCCATTATCACACTTGAACCAATGACATCATATGATCTCATCAAGCTCAAACCCAGTCCTAACTCTAATCCTTTTCTTTGCCCTCAGCAGCTCACACACATAGAAGCTGCCTACTCTTCCAAACTGTTCCCTCCCTTTGGGGAACTTTCTTGGTTGTAATCTACAACCTCACTATAAATTACTATTCTTAATCTCTAACCTCTATCAATTATCCTGTTCCTCCATCTGACGGAACTTTCCGTCATTTCATATATTCTTCATAAGTCAAGAACTATCTTGACCTCACTTCAGCACATCCACTTCTTAATCAACACTTTGATGACCTGACCTGTTCTTCCCTTCTATCTTGACAAACTTGCTGATCCTTATCCACTTGTCTGGTCAATCTCATCCTCGTAGGTTATTGCGCTCGTTTTCTCTCTCTTCCTTGTGTTAAATGATCAAGACAATTAACCAGTTTCTCATTTTATTTATTATCTATAAAAGATCTTTTCTTGTTGTCTTTTGTTGTCTTTCCTTGTTTTGCTTCTTCATTGCTACCTTGTTGTTTGCCTTAAGGTTAGACACCATTTTTCTCTTCTTTATTTCTCATGTATTTCCTTAAAAAGATCGTGATACTTACTTAAGAAATACATTTCTTAACAGTGTTCATTAACAGTATCTGCATACTTTTCCCTTTCACTTACGCTCCATGAGCTTAATGCCCTTGCTAGAGAAATTTCAGACCACTTGATGATTGTAAGGAAACTTGTCATTATGTCCAAAATGCCTTCCAAGGTCTAAATCAAGGGAAGTGCTTCCACCAATAATTATATTTTTTTGGATACAAATTCATTCACTCTGTTGCTTATAAGGTAAATGAAGAGAAAATAAAAAAAGTCTTCAAATACTGAGGAGTTAGGTTAAGATTTGGGAGATTGAGTTTTGGGTTAGGATTGACAAAGAGTCAACGCTGCCACAGATACGATACGCTGTGTGTATCATGGAGAATTCTGCAAAGCTGCATGGCCAAAAACCAAATTTGTTGAATCTCCTTGCAAATAAAAGCAGATTGGTCAGATAGTTTTTTTTATTGGGGCTCAGATACATAGTGATACATGGCAGATACGGGCAGATACCGTATCTGTGGCAGCGTTGAAAGAGTGTGACACTACAAACAATACCAGTTTTGCCCCAGGAAAAAATGGTGATTTGGGTGGTGGAAAGTATATCAATTTCCCTGAGGATTTTTTTACAAAATGACTCAGGAGTGAAAATTAGGCTAAAATGAGCTATTTTAGCCAAAAAATAAAAATGCCTCAAATGAGCTAAAAATCAATTTTGGGAACATTTGAGGCATTTTTATTTTTGGGCTAAAATAGCTCACTTTAGCCTAATTTTTACTCCTGAGCCATTTTGTAAAAAATCCTCAGGGAAATGATATACCTCCATCACACAATTGCCATTTTTACTGGGGCAGAACTGGTATTGTTTGTAGTGTGAGTTATGGTTTAGATTTTGAAAGGGATAATCAACAATCACTAGAAAGAGATGGAATTCAGTGGAATGAGATGGAAGCTTTCACAGAGGGATCATGACAAGATTCCAACAGGTAGTTCTCATGAAATCAAAGCCAAATTAGCAGATCTTTATAAGTTATGTCTCATTCTTTTTCTGTATCTTTTGATCACTGTGGACCAACTAGCTATTGGTAGTAAACAGAGATCATGTGGATAAAACCATAGTATTTTTGAGTTACAACAGTCAGACATGATGAAGGAAATCTTCAGGAGTCAGATGTAGAGATGGCCCCTTGGGACCTGGGTACCAGGTGCTTTAAAAGCCGGCACCAAGTACCACACCCAGCACCATCTGGCGTGTACTGGTGGTACTTGACACGGGTACCAGTGGTACTCTGGCCTCAGTGCCCACTTGCCAAGGATCCTTCCAGGAAACCTGGTTGAGACCAATCAGGTTGCCAAGGAGGATCCTTACCGGCGACCTGATTGGTCTTAATCAGGTCACAACTCACCAAGGAGGGGTCCTCCCCAGCAACCTGGCCGACACCAGTCAGTCTTGGTCAAGCCACCGAGGAGGTGGTTTGAAGGCGGGTACCCTTAAAGGTACCTGGGTACCGCCTGGTTATTTGCCCAAAAGCAGGCACCAAGTACCACACCCGGCACCACTTGGCAGGTGCTGGGTACCGCCAAACAGGTACCCCAAGGCCATCTCTAGTCAGATTTTCTTGGCAATCCAGAGTTTTTCATTGATATCCCAATCATGATTTCATGATGGGTGCAAAAGCTGGAATTATAGTCACATCTTTTTGCCTCAAATTTTGCATGATTAATTTCAAAATCTGGGTTCACAGTGGACCCAGAGACACCCACTAGTGGGATTTCATTCAATGCCCAAAAACAAATAACATTTCCACAGCATAGCTAATAGTACCAACAGAATAAAAAAATAAATAAAACATGAGCTTGGGAAGTTGAGCCCGTCTCAGTACTAATTCAGTAAGGATAAATTCATAGCATTGAATTTTAAGAAATATTAGGATGAAAAGATTGAGGTATCTAATGAGAGAGAAAGAAATGTGCATGTGCATGTAAAGAGGGAGTCAGATGTGTAATGGATAGGGTGTTGTTGAGTCAGCAGCAATCTATTTACATTCTCTTCAACCAAGGAAGCTGATCTCTAATAACTGGACTAAGGACAGTTTGAGCTCAGAAGTTAAGCAAGAGAAAAACAATTCAGAGTATTACAAGAATCTATGGCAATTTACACACAGTTTTATTTTCATATATAAATGAAGATGAGCAGATGTGAAGAGAGAGAGAATGTGTGGGTGTATGTATGTGGTGAAAGTGGTATCGAATGAACGATTTGAACGAGTGTACTCGGGATTGAGACCCGGGGGGAAAAATAGTATTCGAGGACAACGGTTCCTGGCTGGTTGGACTGTGATTAAGGGACGAAGTTTGCTGTCTTGCATGGTGAGGATGAGGCAGGAGGTTGGTATTGCAGCTCCGGAGTTTGTTAAGGATATTGGGAGCGCGTAGCATCGATCTAGCGATGCTCTGTGTCTGTTGTTTATGGATGGTCGAAGGAGAATCAAAGAAAGACAAAGTTAATCAAGGGGTTTGAAAGCTTGTGATTTACTAAGAAAAGAAAACTGCCCTGAAGGACATGTGGTCAGCCTCAAGATGAATAATGAAAGAAATAATTCGCACCTTGAGTTGAGATTTAAAATTGACTAATAGTTTGAACGGTATGCTTGTGCAGGCCGACTCCCGTCCCATGCTTTAGACTGTGTGTAGGGGGCGCCCATGGGATCAAGGTACTCCATCGTTGGTCGGTGATTTGCACCCATGTCATGGATCGATAAGTTGTTGTATTCGCCGTAGGGGTGTGATTGATCGTAATAGTTCAGATTGGATGTTTCTTGAGGCTTTGCGAATGAGATATTGCTTCTGACGGAAGCGATAGAAGCTGAACGATTAATCATGGGTGAAGGAGATGCCCCAACACCGCCCATCTCTTGATTCTTGGGATGGTCAAGGAACGCAGTTGATGGGATGACGATGCAGGTGTCTTCTTCGGCTTCCGCCTTGGTTTTATTACGCAGACGCTTCAAGAAAAACCGGATCAAGATCAAGAACATCAGTGTGATCGCTATCGCGCTCACACCAATCGCCACAATCATACCGGTAGAAGTATGTGGCTGTCGTTGTATGGGTTGAGGACCACCCAGATTATTATCTGGACTATTCGACTCCCAGACGGACCTCGTGCCAGCTAGTCCAGTTGGAGTACTAATCGTCGGCAATTTCGCCAGATTGGTGCCCGATGAAACCGAGGAAGTCAGCGTCGTGGTGGGGTGTGGCACTACAGCTGTAGCGGGAGTGACCGAGGGTACACTCGAAGGAGGCGCATCATCGGGCGCGACAGGCTGAGGTGCACGAGTCACACTGGTGGTGGGACTAGCTTTGTTTGCGGAATGGTTGACAATGGAGATGGTATTGACCGGAGCTTGATTTGCAGCAGGAGGGGCCGCAGCCTGATTCACGGCAGGTGGGGGGACCGGAGCCTGATTCAACGCAGGAGGGTGGGGATTTACGACTGGGTTGGCCGACGGAGCGACCGGCTTTGTTGGTAGGGGAGTGGTGCCGTTGGAGCGGTTGTGTAGTTGTTGGGTAAGCATCTTCCAGGTACCGTGATGGTATTTAGTTGAGGTCAGGGTTGAATCCTTTGGACCAAATGTGATGTTTGGGAGTAATGTTTTTTAGAGTGAGTTCTCGCCCAAAAGTGTTTGTTAAAATTTAAGGAAGAGAAGGAAACAAAGAGGATGGTTGGCCTCTGGACCAGTAAGTTGTTGGCTTCTGCAATAAAATCCAGTTGTAGAAGTAGAATTGAAAAGCTGAAAGGTTTGATGGGGAAGCAGAAGGCGGTTCAGATGTGCTGAGATTATTATTGGTGGGTCTCGGTGAAGAATGAGATGACTCTGGGTTCATTGACCTGCTCTCTCTGTACCATCCTGGGGTTGGTCTACTTGGCACTGGGTTGCCTTGTCTATCTCTTGCTGGAAGAAACCAGCATCAATCTGGGCGAAAGACTCAGGCTAGCCCCAATCCTTCCGGCCATAAGCCGCGTTGACGTACCCGCAAAACACAAGCAGAGCTTCTCCCATGTGATCCTGATCGGGCCTAAGAGATGTCTGACCGGCTGGACTGCATTGCTCTCTGTTTTCTTTTCTTTTCTTTTTTTTTCTTTTTTCTTTTTTTTTTTTTTGACCAGACTGTCCGAGTCACGGGAGCACAATTCAACCCATGAGGGAATGTTTGTCTGAATCAGTCTGCCCGGAGCAATTTCCCGTTTTTCCGACGTACTGTTGAGCATTCGGGATAGCACACACAAAGGAAGAGTAACATAGACTACGGGTGCTAGATTTCGAAACATTGGCGAACGCGCTGAATGTGCGTCACAAATTGGCTTGAGCATTACCGAGAGGGCTCGATACATAGATGGTTCACCAGATAAGAAAGAATTTGCTTGGCCGGCGGTATCACACGTGAGGGTTGACGGGCAGAAACTTTACAAGTGTAACTTGAATAATCCAGCGGACAGACCTCCGCTTCGTCGATACACTGGCTCGCTAATCGAGTTCAATTCCACCAATATGCCTGACGCACGGCGATATTTCTATGGCCGTCCTACGCAAAAGGGGAGGATGTAAACCCCCCTAACAGGAACTTGACAAATGTCTGTCTTGCCGGAGGCAGGCAAAGACGGTACTTGATCAAGTAGCTCATGTCCAACCAGGGGTTTAGGAGGTGCAACATGAGCCTGTTGATGACTAGCAAACTTATAGTCCTCTCAATTGGTTCTATTGAACCGCATTCGTTCCAATTAATCTCCTTCTGATTCATTCGAGCCATTAGATCTGCGACGGTGCTTCAGCCTCAGCGCGCAACCAAATGCGCCACAACCAGATATACTTTAAATAATATATTTGTTTGAACGTAAGGTAAGAAGGCGAGCTTAACTAGGCCTCCACGGCGGGAGCGGTAGCGAGCAGCGGAGCTGTCCACGCCAGTGGAGGCCTAGAACAGATGCGGCGATCCCCGGGTGGTGAGTTTTCAAAATTGGGCTTGTAACCCATGTTTTTGTGTATTTTTCTGACTACACTCTTCCTCATCCACATTTATATAATTTCCTTGTGGACCAAGAAGGGTCTGCTTCTTGTCCACATTTCCCTGTGTTGAGTTTTTTTGTTTTCTTTGCTAATCATTTACAGAAAGCTTTTGAAAACATCAACTTTTCAACTCAGGTTGACTATTTTGGTGGGCCCAAGTTGAGCAAACCCCGCATTTGAGCTCAAAAAAAGTTCAAATCTTAATTTTAGAAAATCAATCTTAATTCCAGTTGTGGTGTACAACTTCTGAGTTTGGGCTGGATCAATAGGATCATCTAGCCCTTCAAGAATTCCGGGCCAAACATCCATAAACTTTTGAGGGAGCGTCATGATTGCAAATCTTGTGACGCTCCCACCAAAACAGGAGAAACTCAGCACCTGAGTTCATCGACCTCTGGCCCAAGTCTCCCCTGCGGGGAGTTCCCTTCGGGAACCGCCTGGCCAGCGCTACGCTGCCAGATGCGCCCCCCGCAGCCTGAGACTTTGTCAAGTTCGGTAAGAAGGATATAAAAAAATGAGATCAAATCAAATCAGATCAAAAACGATAACTCATCAGACAGATGAATCATCAGGGAAAATGTAGATTCGTGTGGTCAAGAATTTGCTCTCGGATGGGTAAGCCATGAGGATTTTGTTCTGCAGGGTATTGGATCTTTCGTTCTGTATAGATAGGTTTACTCAACACTCAACTTTGGCAAGGGATGTATCTCATGTAACGGTCAAGAGCTTAAAAAGGTAAACCCGAAGATTCGAATCAGATCGTGAGTGCTTTGTTTTCCAGCGCAAGAAACGAAGGGTGATTTTATATTGACATATTAATGGTTATAAGCCAAAACTCTACAAACGCTGGATGATAACCTGTCTTAAATTTTACTCTGCACTCTTTCATCATTGCAGAATTTTGGAGTAGTCGAGAGCAACTCCTTCGCTTCTCGTAGTGGTCTGCCAATATTCGGAGGCTTTGGAGAAAAAAAAAGTTTTCAAGACAGGTCAGTTTTTACTACGTATTTGTTCAAGCCTGGTGCTGCTCGCGCAGTATAATTTGAACATGGGGTAAAACTTACTACACCTCCTGCCGAATTGCTCAAAACAAAATCGACCACATCCTGTTCGATTCCCAATTCATACAAAGCTTCGGATGCATTCTCGATCATTTCTCGTATGCAAACAGCCCCCACTGCTGTGGGTGGGTTGGACAAGATGAAGCTGTGAAGCGGAAGCGCATCAGTGACTAAATCCTTGATGCTGTAAATCAAGGAAACTAATACCTAATGACATTGGAAATCCGAGATGGCTTGAAGCGGGTCACTGCGCTGCCCAAAGTTGATAGTGCGAGTGCCAAAGGTTCAGAGTGGCGTTCATCATGAAAGATCTCTTCGATCAACTTGACGATATCGTTCATCGGTCCTTCTGTAATATTAGCTGCACCACTGGCCACAACCGCAGAAAGAGCAGAGACGAAAGATTCACGAATTTCTTTGTCTTCCGAGTTTTGTATGCTACCTAACAGTTCAATTATTAGAGGATCTATGCGCGGCTGATGTTTCATCAAAAGACCTAGAGCAGCGATTGACTTGTTTCGCACAGTGATCGAAGTTCCATCGTGAAGAGATTTCATAAAAGTTCTTTGGAGTTGAGGGAAGAATGGCTTGACATATTGGGGTATGCGCATTAGTAATATTGCCAAAGTCTGAAGGATAGCGGACTTCACAGGAGCAGGGAATCGGTCGCCCATCTGGTTATCAAAAGTAGAGCCTTAACTCATGAACAGCTTGGTAAAGTGATTTTCAGATAGGAAGACATACGATCCGAATCAAAGGCCCAGTGATTTGGGTAACATACGGCTTGACATGTTCTTCGGAGGTCCTCTCAACAAGGTTTCCGAAAGCAAGCGCGGCTTGCTCGCGCTGCTCTGCTGTACCGGCTAAGATACCTTGCAAAAGTATGGGCATAAATGGCTTGAGCCCTGATGGACGCGAAAGCCTGAAGTTTTGATTGTCAGCTTGAACTGTTTTTTTTTTTTTTTTTTTTTTTTTTTTTTTTTTTTTTCACGATGCTTCCAAAAATAAAAGTGCTGCCCACCCTGGCAGATAACGACCCGGAAGCCCAGAACTTTCGATTGTCCGTCGTAAGGGTATAACCAAGGCATCCATTTGAGATTTGGGCATGGCTTTGACCATCTCTTCCACTGCAAGCCAAGCCGAATTGACCACCTCTGAAACAGGATCATCAAGCAAGGATACTAGTTGGCGGATCCAAAGGACGTTGTACTCCGATCGATCGGAGGTATTGGAAGCACAAAAGATTCCGAACAAGTCACAACCATCCACCCGCTTGCTGGGCGTTGGGGACTTTGCAACTTCCAGTAAATGCATCATTAGAGAGTTGATGCTGTCCAGTTCATCTAAGGAACCAAAAATGACGCGTAGAGAGGAGTCTATGGCCTCGCGTATCTCTTCATCTGTTTCAACACTCCATGAAGACCTGAGACTATCAACCACTGCAGATATGTATCTGGCAATCGAGCCTCCGGATACCGAAACTAAGCTCGACAATGCTCGAGCGTTGAAAGCAGTAATTGGTGACTTGGTAAGAACCGGTAAAATCTGAGGCAGTATGCTCGATGCCCCTACACGCATTAACTCTGTGAGCGCGGCCAGGGAGGCGGCCGGGGTACTTCCGGATTGTCGAAGGGCGTGTAGAAGGGCAGGTAGGGTTTCTTCAACGACTTTACTACCCAATCTTTGTTGGAGCGCATCGAATGCCTTGGCAGCGGTAGACCTAACACTATCGCTGTTGTCGAGTAAAGCAGACCTTACAATTGCAATGAGCGGGCCCTGGTTATCTTCTAGCTGCGTCTGAGAAATACTGGCGATGATGTCGATGACGGCCAAACTGACTCCCTGACGAACACGCACATCTTCAGATTGCATGGCGCTTTGTAGAGTTTTGTTGATTACAGCCAAGATGTTTTCACCAAGCTTTCTAACCAACTCGCCAAGCGTCCGGGCAGCAGTCTGTGGAGTGCGGTTTAGAAAGTCATATCAGAACCTGAGATCGAAATATAAAGATGGAAAGGACGCACCTCCCGCTGCTCTTCGCCAGGACTTGCGAGAATGCGAATTAATGTTTGCACTACAATAGAGACGATTAGAGATTGCAGCTATGAGCTGTAGAGTAAACAAGTCAAACTGCTTACTCAGCGTTGGCATGATTTCGCGCGCTGTTTTTGGGGTGTTCTGTATCATATCATATCACAATGTTAGCAGTGAAAATTGTCATGCTGGCAAAAGTATACCTCACATTAACTAATGCCTTCCAGATGTGAACCGATGTCGAGCGGACGATAGACGAAGAATCCTGTCTAGTGATATAAACTGCAGCCAAAACCCTGTCTCGTCGTTCTTTGCCCAACGTATCGACCAAAGCGACTCGGGAGGCATCAGCACTAGGCATCGCGACTTCATCCTCTTCTCCTTCTTCGTTCCCAAGGTCTGCTTTGGCAGCGATCCCGGAAATGCGGAACAGCAGATCTCCCAGGAGCTGTATAGAGCTGTGTTTCAAGATTTCCAAACCTGGGTTAGTTCGTTCAGCCGCTCGCCTCATGTAGATAGCAATTAGTTGATTACCGACCTTTGTCGAATTCTCCAGCTTTCGTGGAAAAGACCTTGCTCAAGTTCCGGCATGAGTAGCTCTATAGCCTTGGTACTGTGGTTGATCACAATCATCCTACCGGCTCGCATCGAGGCGTCTCGTACATAGTCAGAGTCATCAGCAAGTCCGTTCAGGACTGGTCTGATGATTCTACCAAGATATGGCGAGAATCGGTCTCCATATGTCGCTGGCAGGAAAACTAACAACGAGATAAATCCTTCACGAACAAACGCCTTAGGACTACTTGTGTTTGTAATGATATCAGGCAGTAGATCGTCAAGTTTCTCGGTTCCCAGGCCGGACATGATCTCACTAAGACCTTGAGCCGCTCCTTGCTGATCGACACCAGGCACCTCGGTTCTCAGAGTGTCGAAAAGTGAAGGAACCAAATCGGGAAAGCTTTCTTCACCCAAGCGCTCGACTAAACTACCCAGAGCTTTTGCCGCAGTCGCCCGGGCCTCAGGTACTAATCATAGATTGTCAGGAAGTCTGTGGCAAGTCTGATAAGAGTTATGGAGAACATACCTGGATCAACCAAAACTTGTCTTACTCGGGGCATTAATTGGGGTAGATAGGGTGAAAGGTCCTTAGCTTCAGCAAGAGTTGCCAGATTGCCAACTATCTGCGTAGCTTTTCGTTTGATGTCTGCACTCCTTTCTCGAAGACCTCTCTCAATGATAGGGACAATGAGAGCAAGAGAAGACGTATCCACGTAGTGCACGAAAGCTGTACCCAAGAGATTGTCTAACGCTTTGCCGGTTTTTCTTGCCGGGTCGACTAAGGCTGCCAATAGGATGTTTTGCATTGCAGAGATCTCTGGATTGGACACAACCTCTCCAAATCTCTTGAGACTGCTATTGGCAGCTGCGCGAACTTGAGCGTGGGTATCTGTCAGTACTTCGGTTAAGCGAGGAATGATTGTCGGGAGTGACATTGAGAGCTGTTTTGGCGCTAGGTACGCCATGGCGCCCATCAATTCAATGGCGCCTTTTTTAGTTCTCCATTGTTTATCATCCAATCCATTGAGCAAAGAGGGCAAAATTAGTTTGACGGCGTGCCCTGAAAGTCCACGCATTATTTCTCTGGCGGTATCCTGTATGGCTTCTCGAACTTCAGCTGCACTATCTCCAAATGCGGCGAGCATAGCGGATATCGTTGGGATCAAGTACGGTTCAAACAGTCGACCCAGAGAGCCAGCCAATATCTCAAACGCAAATAAAGATCCTTGTCGAGCCCGGGAATTCTTCTTATCTTCTAATGCGTCACGTAAGCGATCAACTATCGAGAATTCTTGAATGGATGTCATCCCACGTCCTTTGATGGCCCCAGCCAATCCATAAGCCGCACCTCTTCGCTCGGCGTATTTTGAGGCATTAAGTGTATCATTGAGAAGCCGTTGGATGAGGATAGGCACCTGCTCTTTTCGAAGCCGCACCAATGGTGGTAGGCAGTCGGATACAGCGCTTTGAACGACTTCAGAGGGAGTTTTGAGAGCATCGACTAAGCGCGTGATTACGACCTTGAGCCTTTCGTCATCCGCACGTAGATGGCGGGCCACCCTTCCAAAAAGGAGAACAGCTGCTTCCGTGATGTGATCCGCAGCGTCTGTCCCAGTCCCACTTCGAGTGAGGATATCTTCAAGAATCGAAATGAGTTTTTCAAGATGTTCGGATCCTCTCAAATCTATAGCCGCATTGCCGGCCTGTCAAATGGTAGATAGGAGATGTTAACAGAGCGTAGGTCCAGCAAGACTTTCAAGTGGGTATGTAACTTACAGCCAGCATACGTGTGCGGACCTCTTCGTTTCTATCACCAAGAGCTTTTTGAGCAACAAGGAAATCAAACAGTGGTAGTATGTCATCGTTTTCCCAAGAAGGTGCTAATAAACAAAATGCTTGTGCTTGTGCTAGCCTGTGTTGCCAAGGATCATTGCGGTCTAGTGATTCGGGTATGATCATTCCGAACTTATCATATTCGGGTACTAGCTCCCTTGCCTGGGAAGTAAAAAGAGCGTAAATGGAGGGTTTAGCTACAAAAATTTAGAGAGAGAGGGGGGGGGGATGCAGGTAACTGGAATGCATACGAGGTATTGGTAGCGAATGGCTATTTCTGCCAGCGCAACTTTTCCTAGATGCGGATAGATCTTAACTGTCTCCGCAACCGACTTTGCAGCCGCGTTTCTGATGGCCGGAGCATGATGTTCTAAAATGAACAATTTGTTAATGTACCAACCGAAATAGTTTCATTTAATGGATCGACTTGCCTAAGAGCTCCAATAAGGATTTAAGACAGCATTCGGGGGTTTGAAGTCCATTTTCCAACCACAAGTCAGAAGCTAAGTTTGCATTCCGTTCATCTTCATCGTGACAAGCTATCCATAGTTCGAGAGACCATCCGATATCTGTCATATCCAATGGCTATCACAAAAACAGACAAGCATGCAGTTGGTCCAGGGTCATATTTAGTTCAAGAATATTAGCTTACTTGAGCAGCCTGCAACGCGGCGTATCTGGCTTGCGATTCCGCGGAAAGAAATCCTAATGATAGGATATGAATGTCTTGATCAGTCGCATCAGACGAGGCAGCTGCTACAACAGCCACAAGGGCTGATGTAGCAGCTTTGATCAACTGTGGGTATTTGCTGATGACAGAAAGACAATCTTGTATCAATCGTGATCTGAGGTCTTGAATTTTTGTGGCTAGGAAAGAGTTTGAGAATATATGAGGACGCGGTGGAAAGCTAGATACATTAACATAGTGACAAATATATGCTTACCTTCGGGCCCCGCAAAACTGATGATGTCCACTGCTAGAGCAACTTGCTCTAAAGATTCTTCAATCTGTGAAGCCGTGATGCCCAGGCCTCCTTTCGTGATAACATGAGACAGGAGTGGAGCAAAATAACAAAATGTCCTGCAGTCGATTGCCTGCTGCTCAGCCAATGATCTGATCTTGTACAACGTCCGGGTGATGAGGTCTATTGAAAGAAAGAAGCGTTTAATGTTACATGTCATAAGGATCCAAATACCTTGTCTTGTGCTAACTAACCGGAGAGCGACTCGGCAGTCATGTCAGCTGGTACCACTTTAGTACCCAGCCCTCGTAGAATGCACATCGTAAGCGGCAGGCGAGACGAGCCCAGACGTTCGGTGCAAAAGTCACCCATGACCTGGAATCGTGGTACATCGCGGAATCAGTTCAGTCACCACCTGAAAGTTTCATAGTCGCATCGTACTCACAGAAAATGCCACGAAGCCCTCCGTTGGGATCAAAGTGACGACTTCAAGCTGTAAAGCCTTTAAACATATATCAACGAGCGATGCCGCGTAGTCTGTGATGACATTCTCGGCGGCTTTGCGAGCTTGCATCAGACTATGGATCAGACAAAATCCATGTTTGAGTTTCGTCAAGGCTTCCGTAACTTGAGCTCGCACATCTGTTTCTTTGGAAAGCTGTGCATCAACCAAAGCCTTTTCCGCTTTTGTCAAGATCTTGGCTCCACCGGCTTTTTTCTGTTCTAGGCTTGCCCTTAGTTCTTGCTCCCATTTTTCAATCGAGTCTTGCCCATTTCTACCTTGCACTTGATTTTGCTGTTGTGGGGCGAGGACTGCGATGGGACGCATAACGAAGAAACCTTGAACTTTATGGTTAAATTCTTGAGAATATTGAGGATCTGTGTGCGTACCATCATGAAATGTCTGCCCGGGCGGTGTATTCCACACTCCCAACTCAAACGACCCTATGTGAATAAATTTCTCAGGATCCAAGGATTCCCTGACATACTCTGATATTTCAGGATAGGCGAGTTGGGGTGTCACAAGGCACATTGTGGTTACGGCGCGGTAGGCCGCATCACAGAGGTGGTTACTGTCTGCAGACACCGCGGTTATTGAGTCTTGAATGTGTTGCGTCAAGCGTTTGAAGTTCGACGAGATTACTTCTTCCGGGTCAAGTGCCGCTGTGCGCACAAGGCCTATCCAGAGCGACGAGGAATCATCTACAGAAAGCAGAAAATCAAGGTCAACGTCAAAATCATACATGCTTTACCTGGTGGAAGGATGTGACTTGCCTACGACCTGGTGGTGCGACGTTACAAAACTTTCGACAAGCAACTCACGTCGCACCTCTGCACTCATGTTCTTGGTGTTTTTGAACATTGACGCCAATAGACTCTTCAGCCTTGCACCTAACGTTGAGCTATTAAAGAGATCATAAGTAGTACTCTAGCGGGTAAAAATTGGAAGTATTAGTACCGATAGGAATATTTATTGCTACCCGTTGGAAGATATCAAAATCTTACCTTGAGTGCTTGCGTCCGCAACCCTTCCATTAGAAAATGACAAACGAGTTTTGGGTCTTGTTTGAACCACTCGCATGCCAATGCGGAAGTAAGTTTCCGCGTCTCATGGCTAGTACATTCAAGACAGAGGAAGAGCACTGCCTGTGCATATAGGTTTCTTGAATCATAATAATAGAAAAACATCAGTTAGCCATGCATTGTAGACGAAGTGTATGTACTGGAACACAATGATATACCTGAACACCGGATCTTGATCCAACTCTGATTTGAGTTTTTCAAAAATTGAATCGAGTGCACGAGCAAGCCACATATTTTCATCGGGTGAAGCAGTGGATTTTCGGTAAAGACGATCCAGAAACAGAAAGCTAGGCTTTGGTGTGCCCACTGCGAGAGAACATAGCACAGGATTATTCTCCCACATGGTTTGAATGCCAGCGTAATGACGAAGGAGCGACGAGCCGCACAAGGCCACAGCAACATAGCCCTCGAAAGGGCCTCCAGCAGATGCAAGAGGGTTGGTTGAGGCGTTTTTGAGATTAGCCTCGAACGCTTTCGTTAGTGAGACTAGGAAGGAAGGGTGGATCAGCACCTGCTGGGGGGTATCTTCAGAAACTTGAGGTTTTGTGTCTTCGGGAGCTTGAGGATTGACTTGACTAGGCCGCCATAATGAAAGTCCAATCGCTGAACATACTGTTTTTCGGATTAACGGCTTGGGATCTTGCATACTCTTACTAATAGCCTGAACGGCAGCCGGGTCTATTTCAAAACCGGCATCAATCAGAAACTTGAGATGACGGTGGATGGTCGCACCGACACTCATAAGAGCGTTTTCGTTGGTCTCCTTGCCGAGCAGGTCGCAGCATAGCTTGATTAAGGAAGGCGAGAATGATGCATTGGGCTTCAAGGAGGCTAGTGCATTCAGCAGTGTTGCACGGTGCTCAGGACTTGAAGTTTTGCCGGTCTTGATTGGCAAGCTAATCTCTTCGACTACTTTGAGGAGAACATCAGAATCTTCATCCCCAAAAAGCGTTTCAAAGAATGACAAGGAAGATTTCCTGGTCTCTGGATTGCTGCTTTTACTAGAGGATAGAATAGCAGGCAGAAATGTGATGCCGATCTCTCCTGGGAGCCGAAAGGTCGACATACTTATGAATTGCGTCAAAGCTGGTAAGGCAACCTCTGGAGAGCGTAAGAGAAATTTGGTGGCAGGCGGGATTACTGTCTGAGTAAAGTCGTCCGGAGTTAAAATTTGCTGGGAAAAATCACGGAATGCAGATGTCGTCCACGCAGGTAGTATAGAACGGGAGCCCAAGATTTGGGTAATCCACCAATCGAGGATTTGGTTCTAAAAAGAGATAGGATTGTGAGACCAAATTATGGTTACTTAGTTCTAGGTGACGCACCTTGAAGGCCATGATGTAACCCACGCCTACCCCATCGCGAGCACCTTTTATAGGTTCTTTCCCGACCCTCAGTCTGAGAGAAACGTCGATGACCACGCCAAGAAAGCTGGCATTCACGCTGGCGGAGGTTGAGGAGGTCAAAATATCAAAAAGCCTGGGAATTTCTTTTTGATTCTGCGCAAAAGGAAGGGAAAAAAACGTTAATAATGGCTCAAGGCGCAAGAATTATATCAGTAAGACTAACTCACGTTCCTGATTGTTCTTCTCACAATCACAGTGCCAGACTTTTGGAAGGCGGGTCGATTATCCTGAGGATCTTGCAAAGAGTCCAATAGGGCACCGAGAGCATTGACCAAGGTGGAGATTGATGTTGAATCTTGGGACGATTGGCTGGGCGGGTGTGAAAATGAGTTTTCGAGCAGTGAAGCCGTCCACACGAGAAGAGCCAAACGAGTACTAGTCGCGCTGCAAGCCCCGCCGTGAGATTTGCCGCATGACTTGGAGGCTTCCTGAGAGAGCCACTTGATGACAGTGCTTCTGAGTCCTAAGGAGGAGGATTCGAGGGATATTTCGTCGTTCTCTTCGATCAGAGCGATCAGTACAGAGATGGCAGCTTTCCTCGAGTCGGTATCATCGTATCTAGGAATTGTTTGGAATAACACCTTGAGTAATCCGGATGCTTCCGAGATCGAAGGAGACTTATCCCGCCGTAACAGGGGAAGTAACTCGTCCCTTAGGAACGGAATTCTGATTGACAACTTGGTAGTAATGATTTTTGGCCGAGCTTGCTGCATGGCCACCTCCCAGGTGAGCCTGTCTGATACGGGTATGCCGTCTTCGTCCTCGTCATCCATTCCAGAAGTCGATGCAACACTGGATGAGATCCACTTGCGAATCAGTTCTTTATCTGGGGCCATTGTTTCCTGCTTGACTGTTCTGCGACTTTCTTGAGGATGGTTTCAGTTTGTGATGCTATCGACGTTGGTCCCGCGGCCTTCAGAGTCCAGACACCAGCCTCGCTGCGCCGGGCACATCTTGTTGTGACCTAGGTCACATGGTGCGACTCGGCTGCGGCTCAGCCAGCCAGAGGAGACTACACCCGTCTCCTCCGGGCCACACCTACCGGTAATATATACGCTTACACCCCTCTGAGTCACTACAGGTTATGAGCCTGCGATACCAGCTACGCTGAAGAATCTCGAACCGAAGAACCCTACCGGACTAATCTTTTGAATCTCACCGACGAACCATACCGGATTATTTTTTTTGAATATCGCCGACGGAACATACCGGACCTATCTTTTATCTCGCCGACAAATCATTCCGGACCCTCTTCCTTAAATTTACCGACTCAGGATTTTTTTTTCTAACCCTTTGGCTAAAACTAGGTTATCCAAGATATTTTTCTCAACTAGCTACTCGATTGTGATGGACCACTCTTTGTATGGCGCTCACAGTCGGATTCAACTTTTTCTAGCGGATTTACACTGTGTTTTGGGGAGTCTACCGCCTCCGACTGCCCATGGACCCATGCAAGCGATTTTCAACTCAATTGGTTCTCAGCATAATCTCAATCGGCTGAATGTTTCCAATCAACGGATCTCTTGGAAGCGCCCGACCCATCGCTCAAGAAGTTGGAGGAAGAATCGCACAGGAACCGATTGCCAACGATCGCCGCAAGTTCATCATCCTCTACCCATCCCGCCAGTCAAGCAAAACACTGGCAACACTCCGAAAGAATACGAGATCCGGTTTCCCCAACACCAACAACTAGCCCACATCCACAACCATCACAAGCGTTCCAGGCCCCAAAAGAGCTCCCCGGTCCTCAGTCATATACAATCAAACAATCAACATTTTGATTTCCAATATTCTTACAATCGAGAGCCTCAATCGACTGAGGAATACCATGCCTGTGGAAACTCGTCTTTGGAGCCACCTATCAACGATTTTGAAAACTGCTTAGATCAGGCACAAGATGAGGATCTCGACTCTGTTTCAGTCAAGTCGCGAGGTGAATCAGTTGATCTAGATGAGGTTGAATGGTATGACCGGTCTGTTCTAGACATCAATGCGGATCCAGATCACTTAGAACAACAACCCGAGCCAGCTTTTGACTTAAAAAGCTACAGCGCTGACAATGTAGACCGCTGGGCCAGTACCTTGTCAGCAGAAGAATTCGAGCACCTTCGTGTTTTGGGAACCGACACTAGAACTGAGTCTTTCCGGCAATATGCTATCACCAACCTTGATCAACCAACTCAGACCCTAACTCCTCAGTTAAATCAAGAACCGCTTGATCACATCCCAGGTGAAGTGGCTGACAACCACGATCAAGATGCCAACAACCCTTGCGTTCATTCACATCATGTCAATCACCAACCCAACCAATACACCTGCTCTAGTTACTATGAACACTCCAACTACAGCACCTCCAATCTTGATCAAAATCCAGATAACACAGCAGGTTTTGACGGCAGATTTGACGATGGCGGATTTGAAAATGGTGAATTTGATGATGGTGGATTTTACAATGGCGGTTTCGACGACGGATTTGATGATGGCGGATTTGACGATGGAGGCTTTGATGACGGCGGATTTGACAATGGTGCCTTTGATGACAGCGGTTTTGATGACGGCAGTTTTGATGATGGCGGCTTTGACGATGGCTTTGACGATGGCGGTTTTGACGATGGTGGTTTTGACGATGGCAGTTTTGACTATGGTAATTTTGATGATGGCTATGGCTCCACTTATTAATAGCCTGTTGCACATGAAAATCCTCTTCCCCACTTCCCAACCTCTGGTCTTTTTATCTTCAACCTACTCATCTTTTCTTACATTTTATTCTATTTTATTTTGATTATTTTTTTATCTATCAGCCTCCTCAACCTTTCCACACCATTTTTTTTTCAAGATTGATCTTATTTTGATTATTCATATCTTCTGCCTTTCTTTATTTTTTCTTTCTATTTTTTTCTCTCAGCTTGATGTATGTAGTTAGGGCCTCCCCGGCAGGTGTCTTGGAGCCTTGCCGAGGGGGTGGGTGTTGTGACCTAGGTCACATGGTGCGACTCGGCTGCGGCTCAGCCAGCCAGAGGAGACTACACCCGTCTCCTCCGGGCCACACCTACCGGTAATATATACGCTTACACCCCTCTGAGTCACTACACATCTGGCTGTTGTTGTTGACACCCCTGTGGGGCTCTCGATCAGCTGCGGAGTGCCACAGGGCCGACAACAAACATTCCGTGAAGTTTTGCTCAAAGATCTCATTTGCCCCCAATTTTGAGGGTCACTTTGGACTTGATGGTAGGGTTCCGCTCTGAACCCGGCTTTGTCAGTTTGACCCAACGGAGGAAAGATCAACTGCCCCAGGGTAGGTTTCAAGGTAAAAAGCCTTGGGGGACATTTTCCATGAGGCTCCACCCTGAGTTAAAAGTTACAAGGCTGATTGTAAAAAATCCTCCACAGACTTTATTCCAGATCAGGCTTTGTCCTTCCCCATAACTGAGGGGGGTTGGTTAAACAAATCCCAAAGTCTTGCCAAGGACCCCCAAAGAACATCACACTGGACATCCGTTGGGAGTTGTTCCTCCAAACGGGTGGCCGGAATTGGGAGTCAGCCATCCTTTTTTTTGGGGGAAGTTGGCTCCCCAAACCACCCCTCATGCTTGCGGGGGTTTGGGAGTTGCTCCCACTTGACTGGAAGGAAATCCTTCCAATCACTCAGGGACCACAACTTCATTGGCCAGAAGAAAGTCCTTCTGGTTGACAAGGTATAATGACCTCATTGGCTGGAAGGAAGTTCTTCCACTTGATGAGGTCTACCTCATCAACCCATGGTGAAAGGGTTTGTAGTGGTTACAACCCCCCACTGCAAAGTCAACCAGAGGCAACCAATATAACATTGGTCTTCCAGACCAACTTTGCACCAGTTGGTGTTGGAATTTCACTTGTCATCACTTTTCTTTTCTCTGTCATCAACCTGTCACTCATTGTTTAGCTGCCCATCTTGCATGTTTATTGTATCTTTCTTATCCATTATGTGTCACTAGAGACCCGCAACTTGATCATGATGTACATAGATCACTTAAGACTGCTTGATAATTGGGAATAATAAATTATCTGTTCTGACCAAACTTTTCCTTTGAGTGACACTTGAGCCTCCTTGAAGTCTTACTGTGAGGACAGTTAAGCCTCCTCAATTAAGATCCAGGTTAACTACTTCAGACCTAGTCTGCTATTGGCAACATTGCAACAGAGACGATACGAGATGGTATCAGGCGTTTATTTGTATTGTCTCAGAATTTGAATACCCCAAAATACCGGATTTGTGTTGTCTCACTTTCCTGAGACAATACACATGTATTGTCTTTGAAAAGTGAGACAAGTATTCTGTATTGTCTCAGATGACTGATCCCACCATAACCGTATTTGATACACAAGATATTTGGCCGTATTGAAGAAAAAAGAAAACAGAACAAACACAATTTTTTTTTCATTTGTAAATCCGAATCCGAGACAACAATTTTTTTAACCAACTAAGAAAATAACGATACCAGTATCAGGCTCAAAATAAAGACAATATGATCTGATATAAATACGTGTCTTGTATCTGTTGCACTGTTGCTATTGGCTTGCCAATCTTTCACTTTATACACTCAAATTTCTTCAGTTGGGCCCACTGATACATTACAACAAAGGACAATGTGTCAGTGGGGCCAGCCAATATAAAATTGGGTTTTAAAACCCAATTTTATATCAGTTGACCTTACCGCAGGGGGGGTTTTAACTGACACAACCGCTTTGGCAGTGACCCAACAGAATGAACTTGTCAGTGCGGGTTGCTGTGGTGTTCTAAACGGTACAGGCCCCCTCAAGGTTGAATTTCAAATTTCAACTTTCAACTCTTCAATATCCTCAAGACTCAAGATTTCAATATTATCACCTCAAATCCCCACTCAGTCCAATGGTTTCCTCATTTTATTATTTTATTCCATTTCCTCTTATTATTTACTCTTCATGTTATTTTTTTATTCATCTTGATTTTATTTTTTATCATTTTATTATTCTTACTTATCTTTTTCAAATCACTTACTTAGAAGACAGTCTTGTTTAATTTTCTTGGTCCTAAGACATCTCAGGATGTTGGTTTATTTCACTCTTGATTATTTTGTTTTGTTCTGTTCTGTCTTGTTCTGTTCTGTGTTGTGTTGTGTGGGTTGTGTAGTGTTGTGTAGTGTTGTGTAGTTCTGTGTAGTGTTGTGTTGTGTTGTGTAGTGTGGTCTTGTTTTTGTTTTTTGGTTGAGTTGTGTTGTAGTTAGGGATGTGATGACATGTCTGTGACATGTCACTCCCCAGAGTCAAAGTTCAGTTTGAACTGAGATGATGGGGAAGCATGGCACTCTGATCTGATCCAAGATAGACCCATCAAATTTTATTGATCTTCTTATCATTCATACTTCTGATCCTCATACACATCCTCAAGATCACTCAGACTCAACAACCACCACAGAACTCCACTTCTGTTGTCTCCTCTCAGAAAACCAACCAACCCCAACGCGTTTTGTTCAGATCACAGCTCAATTTATCCGGACCCCACTTGAAGGCAGCCCTCAAAGCACCATCCCTTCAACCAACTGCCTACTGCCTGGCACGATAGGAGTTCCACATTGCTTATGTGACCTGGTGTTGATGGGGTTTTGGGGTCTTACTATAGCTCTAATAGGCAGTATAATGAGAGCCTCACCTTGATGGTAGTGAGCGGAGGGGTTGAGCAACCTAATATAAGGGGATGTTGTGAGAACTCCTTTGGAATGGGTTGGCAGTCCTTGAGGGGGACATAAAAATATGATATTTCAACTAAGTAATATTACTGTTACTGGTGGTTTGAAAGACCTGCCCCTCTATTTACTACCCAAGAATTCTGATAAAAATTTAATTTATTGCTCTGGCGTAACTTTGTGATGGAGAAAACTTTATATGTACTAGTCTCTATCAGACCTAGATCAGTATATAATACAATACAAGATGGTTGTACAGCCTTACACAGCCTTGAGACCTTTTACAGTCTCAAGGCCAAGAGGGATTCCTCTCGGCCTTGAACCATGTAAGGTCTCAAGGTTGGGAGGAACCCCTCCCGACCTCAAGACTCTGTAACCGTTCACGGGCTGGCTGGGGGGAGGGGTTCCTCCCAGCCAAATACTATTTTTTTTCCTTCAACAGCCTCAAGCCAGGGCTATCCCATAGGACCCATGCCTGGGTCCTATGGGATATGGCGAGACAGTATGTAGGTTGGCGTGCATGCATGCCCCGCTTATAGGTTGGCGTTGTGGAAAGTATGGCGCACCCTAGGAGATTTCTTGCACTTCTCCGCTCTGCAACAAATCCTACTCTGGTTTGTTGTCCGGGGTAACTTGCTTGATGGTCTTGTTGGTAGGTAAAAATAACTATTCTTTTACTGGTTTTGGTAGGTAACACTCTAACTCTATTCTATCTCTAACAATTCTTTAGGCTAATACACGATTCACTCCCAAGTCAATCTGTTTTTCTGATATGTTCTGAGTCATAAGTCCCCCTCCTCCCTTTCTCTTCCGCTCCAAACTCCACTCTTCCCAATTATCCCACACTCGAGTTTCCTCCTGCTTCCCATGATGTCCTCCGCTGTCACTCCCTCGGACTCCGCTTGTCACCCCTCCAACGCCTGTTGGTCCAGGTACTCCTCCGGCCGCTCATGGACAGGTCTCTCACCGCCGCTTCCGCCTCTGGTCCGCTCTGAACCCCGCTTCCGCCCCTCGGTGCCCCCGCTCCTTGTAGCCCCTCCGCAGTATACGCTGAACCCCCATTCCGCAGTCGGCCGTGAACCCCAGCGTCCGCCAGTGCCCGGATTCCCCGCAGCAAGCTTTTTGGAGCCTTGCCCATTTGGTCTACTTTCCCCCGCTTTGTGAACCCCAGTGTCCGCCAGTGCCCGGATTCCCCGCAGCAAGCTTTTTGGAGCCTTGCGCATTCGGTCTACTTTCACCCGCTTTCCCGCGCCTTGGAAGGCCAGACTTCCCGCTAATGCACCGCCGCTTTCCTCAGCTTGCGTGCGTAGCGTCAGCTCTGCATGCTTTCCGCATCAGCCGCGAGCATTCCACATGCCCCCAAACAAACCGGCCAAAGCTTTGGTCAAGTTGCGCTCTCGCCACCACAGCATGCAGCCTTGCACACCAATCGAAATTGGTGTGCAGACCCGCACACCAACCTGCTGGGGGAATGCCCGCACAGAGGGTTGGGGTGTGGGTCTGCACGCCAATTTTGATTGGTGTGTTGGAGTGCGTGCGCGAAGGGGGAGGGAGTGTGCTTATCACCCCCCTTGGTTTCAATACTCTAAATTTTCTATATCTCTAACAATTCCTTAGGCTAATAAACAACTACCCCTAATTCTCTCTGTTTTTCTGATATGTTCCAAGCAACGGTGGGCCAGCTACGCTAACCGTAGCGTTAGCGTAGCGTAGTGTAGCGAAAACCCGCTACAATTTAGCGTAGCGTTAGCGCTTTTCTCATTTTCCCCGCTAACGCTACGC